AATGGAAACTGAGGGAATATAGGGATTTTATGAGGTATATTGGGGTTATATTGGGATAATGGAAAATAAAATGGAAACTACCATATAGTATTATGTATTCCTATTTTATTCTACTATTAGTATATAGGTCAGGCACGGGTTAAACTATGAGATAGGGTGCCACCAAGGGCAGATTTGCCTTAGATTTCAGGGCACAAAGGATGCTGGGGAGCACTTCCGTTACCTTCCTTTGGGGATTGCCCTGTGATGATTTTTTGTGGGGCAGCCCTCTCCGCTTGTGAGGAGCCGACTTCAAATTTGGCTCCTGCGGCATTATGTTGTTCATGTACGGTTCGCAAGCGTATCATGTGGAGTTGAGATCCTACAAATGCCGTCTAGCAAATGCGTGCAATTAAATTTCTCCGCCAAAGCAGAATTAGGACAAGCTTGGTACAATAGATGCTTGCAGCCTACTTCGTACTGCCGGTACCGGATGCACATGCTGGATACTGTTTCTAGCATCCCCGATCCAGTTGAAATCGCGACCTCTCCGCTAAAACACTTTGCAACCAAACCAAGCTATGGACGTGTCTATGGCTTATCGAGCGTGGGGAGCGGCAAATATGTCGCTCAAGTCATGACTGGGTCTCGAGGAAAAGCGGCAGGATGGTTTCCCCTGATTTCACTCGCGCACTGAACACTCCCATTTGCCAGTGGGCAAAAAAGAAAGCGCTTATGCTTTAGGAACGCAGGTGCTGAAGCATCTTGATCTTTTAGGAGGTGCGAGCTCTGGACAATTCATGTAGCAATTCGCAGACGTAAATATTTACCCTATTATATGAAAATAGTTTCCATTTTTTCCATTATCCTTATATAACCCCTATATAACCCTATATAGTTACAGTAGTTTCCATTTTCTTTTCCATTATCCCTATAAAACCCCATTAGTCTATCCCAACCACGGGTGCAGCATGCTTCAGCTGTCAGGTTACCTGGTGCTGGGCGAGGCCTCTTCGCAGAGAGCTTGCTGCCAAAGGGAGCAGTCCTGCCGCCTTACAAGGCGAGAGATGCTCGTGACATAGTAAAATAGTTATATAGTAATATATAGTAATATAGTAAATCATAACAAGATAGTGATATAGTAATATAGTAAAATAGTAATATACGTAATATAGTAACATAGTAGCATGATAATAGAAAAGCGCAAATTGTAAGCCTCAGGTGATCACGCACACACAAGGGCCAAACCATCCCGTGCAGTACATGAGCCTTTGAGAATGTAGACATGGGCTGTTCTCAAAATAAGGGGCCTTTTTTGGTTATAGGTTATATGACGGCACCTAATATTTAGGGGTACCAAAATGGGACCCTAATTTTGGGGACTACCCACATGCAGGTCACAGACATCAATCAACAAAAGACCAGCCCCGACTTGCCAGGGCCGGCTTCAGAGCTTCCAGGATGTCAGCCGACGCTTAGATCTAATTACTACTATTCTTACGGGTTTAAACGGTTTAGGGTTTAAGGGATTATTACCATTGCTACTAATTATTACGACTATGACAGTATTGTTATTACTGTATTACGTTAGATCTAAGTTGCGTGCGTCTCAAAGTCTGTCATGGAGCCTGCTGACGACAAGAAGCAACACTTCTGTAGTTGGAGCATGACAGGCTGTCTGCAATGAATAGCATCACACCTAAAGGCCTTATTGTGTGCTGTTTGCAGTTTTTTGGGGGTTATATGGGGGTTATGTAGGGGTATATGTAGGGTTTAGGGGTTTCCCAAAATTATGGGTACCTTTTTGGGGTCCCAATATCAAGGATTATCGTATTTTGGGGTCTGCATTGGGGTTTTTGGACTCTGTCAGCTTGCACTCAGGAGGTGGTGCCTACGTGTGGTGCCCGCAGAGTTCTGGTGACACAGCTCCAGCCTTTTGCACCTTGGCTTAAGCACAACGCACTGTGGACGCGGACCTACCTGCCAATTCCTGCATGCAAGGGAGTACTGCCAAAGAAGTTATCCTTGCCGAAGCCGCCAGGCTGATAATATACTAAATAACCCATTATGATAATATGAGAATATCGTCGAGTAGTCACGTAGTAATACAGCAGTGTAGTCATATATGGTAATATCATGAATAGAATAATGGAGTACTATAAAAACTATGATGGTTCCATCATATGTTTGATCAGCACTGAGGCATGGATGCTGCGGCTGATGATCCGGATAACCCTGCACGGCTCATCAACGCGGCGGCCAACGAAGATCAGTGCAAGCAGGCAACGGCTGCTTGACGTTTTGTTTTGGTATTTTTGCTCCAATATAGGGGTAATGGAAAAGAAAATGGAAGCTACTATGTTGTTATAGGGTCTCTGTAGGGATAATATAGGGATAGTGGAAAAGAACATGGAAACTACTCTCGTGATTTCTTGGGTTTGCTTGGCTTCAAATGTCCTGCCTTGCATGGAGGTGAACACAGAGATTTGTCAGCTTGGGGGTATCCTCTACTTCCGCACTCTTCAAGAAGTGCCAGCTGGCACGGAGCTTGTGACAGACTACGGTCGGGTACTTACGTTGGCCCGTAGACTTCAAGATACTGCAAGCAGTGACCTGAAACCTGCAGGATTTGCACACTTTCTGCATGTTTTGCGCCTTAGGATACAGCTACTGGCCAGATTTCGATTCCTGCCAGCTTGTGACGTCCAATGACCTGATGGCACGCTTGGAGAATCGCGCGGCGAGATAAAAAAAAGAGCTCAGCCCAAAGCTGGAACGCATCAAGGCGACGGGGAGCTTAACAGAGGGACATGCAAACCCTCTCATGATGCAGTCGTTTCCCTTTGCTTTCCATAATTCCATGCATAACTTGCAGCAAAAGCTCTGTTGAAAGTTGCGCTGAAGCCTGGGCTGGTACTAAGGCCGCACTAAAGCGCCCTGGGCCAGCAGACTCGACGCTTGCCTGGAGTTGACGATGAGCTCCTGCTCACATCTGGATTTGAGTTTGTCTTTGATGTTTTGGTGCACGCAGAGCATCCCTGATAGCCTCGTGCAAAGTAAAACATGATGCATGATTTCGATGATTGGGTTTGCATGGGGACGAGTTTGCAGACCCGTGCCTTCTTAGCCGACGCGAGTCTCGGACCACGCTACGTAACCAGGAGCAACTGCGCGTTCGAGTTTGTGCTGTGGCACCAAGTACCACATTATCAGCGGTAGGAAAGGTTGGTAAATCCTAAACGTGGCTTCAGACAGTCCCGGAACCAAGGCAAGAATTCATCTAACATGCTAGAACAGATGGCTGGAACCAGCTTTGCAGAAAGGTGCCAGGAGGAAGAAGGTTTTGAGCGTGGGCCTCGCTCCTTCTGACAAATTTGTCCCTGTAGCCGTAGCCAGTGGGGAAAGAGAGGAGCTGATAGGAGCAGCGTAGCAGCAGGAGTAGTCAGCTTGCACGCCAGAGAGAAGAGGACCAGTGCATAGGTACTGGTCCTTAGTACACATATTCGGCTGTATGGCCGGACGCAATCACGGAAGGTTGCTAGTGGTGGTGATGGTAGCTGTAGCGGTCGCGTTGGGGTGGCGGTTGTGCATGTGTTTTTTTGTTGTTGTTGTTGTTGTTGTTGTTGTTGTTGTTGTTGTTGTTGTTGTTGTTGCTGCTGCTGCTGCTGCTGCTGCGTCGTCATCGTCGTCGCCGCAGCGGCGGCAAGAGTGGTTTTGGTGGTGGTGGCACTGGTGTGGGCGGTGAGGGGGACGGCTGCGGTGGCGGTGCCACTGAGCAGTGCTTGGGCAGGTGGTTTCGCAGGCGGTGGCTCATGTCGTGGCAGTTGCTGCGGCGTGATGTTGGCGGTGGGGTGGTAGCGGTGCATGTAGTGCTCGCTCTTGTTGTCGTGCCCATTGCCTTCGTTGTGAAATTTGCATTGGCGTTGTAGCCATAGTTGGATTTGTCCAGTTGCGGGAGCAGTGATGGTGTTGTCAGTGGCAATCACAACCAGCCGTATCATCTTGCCAAGGAGGGCTCTTGTGATGATTTGCAGGGCACTGAGCTTTCCCGGTGGAGTCAAGAATAGTCAAGACCTACTCGTACATGCCAAGCAGAGCACGTGAGCAGGTCTGGTTGCAAGGAGAACCTGGCCACTGGGGCGTTCTTGCCCGCCGCAAGTGGAGGCGGCTCCGAGACAAGAAGTGCGGCACTTTGTGATTGCACGTGATCTGGACTGTCGTCAGCCAAGAGCAGTGTATGGTAAGTCACAATTCTATGTTCTAGGAGCAATATACTACAGTAGTTTCCATTTTCTTTTCCGATATCCCTATATAACCCCAATATACTATAGTAGTTTCCATTTTCTTGTTCTAGGAGCCTAGCCTGCAAGATCTTCCTGCAGACGTGACTCCCATTTCAAGCCGCCAATACAACTGGGACACCTTGGTGGCTCAGGCAACTTTGAGAATCCTTATGGTACCCAATATTACCCCAATAACAAATGGAAAAGAAGATGGAAAACGAAATGGAAACTGGGATTATATAGAGGTTATTTGTGTAGTATTTTGTAAGTTGTCCAAAGCGGGATTGAAGCTTGAGGGTCAGCATTGCGGCCTTGTTGCTCAATCATTGGTGAAGCTCAAGGGGCTATGGCTCAGAAACATGTTTACACGCGGACCAAAAAGATGTTGTGCCTTGCTAAGGGACAACTCCTAAAAACCAATTCCTAGAGCGTGTCCAGATCTTCAATCACGCAGATGCACAGCTTTGGCACTCCTGGCTTCCAGTAACTATTTGCAATGCTGTGAGTCAGTTAGTATCCATGAAACCTTTTAACCGTGCAGAAGTGCGTCAAGCACAAGTCAAGCATTCAGCGTCAAGAGTCTTTGCCACAATCTCTTGAGGCAGCGAGCGTTTGCATGCCTACTTTTCGGAGGCTGCAAACGAAGCCGTCAGATCATTAGTTGCACTGAGTGCTCTTCTCATGTGAGGGTAGGAGTTGTTCTTTGTTTTTTTTTCTTCTGGCGGTTTCTGCTCCCGCGAAAGGGCACGGCCCCTTTTATCGCACCACCAGAGTGGCATTTGGCTTCGTAAGACAAGAGTTCTGTGAATGCCGCTGTAGAATTCCTGCCGCGTAAGTATACATGTGCTTAGGAGCTGGGCTGAGGCTGGCATTGTGGCTCTGCAAATTGCCTGGCTGGCCTTTAGTAAGTTGTATAAATGTCTTCAGCACTGCCCCAAAGTGTGCCTAAGCGCCCTTGACTTGCAGACTTCTGCAGCTACATGCTGCTCAGGCCCTCTAACTCCGTTTCCTGGCAGCTTGGGTACTCCGGGCGCTCCGAAGCAGCCGACCTGCCCCTATCCCCAAAGTTGGTTGGCACGTATGTTAGATGACCCAGGTGCCTCGGCTGCTTCCTATGCCTTGACTGCCCCTGCTGTGCCGACTCCTGCCACATGCAGCTCCCGAATTCGTGACATTGGCACGGAATGTTGGGGTAGACGAGACATGCCTGATTGAGGACCAATGTTACGGATTCGCTCCGCCACTAGATTGGTTGTGGATGCACTGCCTTTATGGCCACTGAAACCTGAAGCCTTGCTCCCAATCTGAAGCAAGACTCACGAATGTTTCCAGACGTTACCATCGTGGCATCCGCAGCCAAGCTGCCTCTGAGAGTTTAAGATGAGGTGGTTGGCGTCAAGACTGCATAAGTGGTAGATTGTGCCCGAACTGGGACCAATGAGCGACCGGTTCAGCAGAGCAGTGAGATTCGCATCACATTGCCAGGAGCTTCCAGATGAGAGTCGAGTGGTCTTTGGTACGAAATGTTTGTGCAGGATATCTCAGTTAGCAGGTTCAATTCCCGACATGTAGTGGCAGTCGAAGGGCTTCAGCAAAGACCGCGGCGCAGCTTCTTTCCCAACTTTCAATGTGCCTCAAAGCATTGTCATTCGTGTGTCTGTTCTGGCCTTTTGTGCAAGCTCGCACGTTCTCACACCATTTTGCAAGGCCGCGTCACAGCTGGCGCTGAATACATGACGCGGCGATGGAATACACCTCTCGACTTTCTTTCTTGTTGCAGCAAGTCCAAGACCATATATGACAACAATCTTGCCGTTTGCCGCGCGCTTGTGGCCGGAGTCCAAAACTCACACGGACCTGGCATTTACCGTGGGATGTTGGAATTGTTTCAAAGGCTTGCGACTTCACTGGCGCAGCAACAACGCCCTCGGCCTCAGTAGACTCTTTGTCCTCGGCTTTGTGCCGTCCCTCGCCCAAAACTCTTTGCACGGATGGGCGTGCGCGAAGTCGGTGGGAGTCCTGCCCTACTTCGACATTTTTCTGGTCTCTAACGCAGTTGCATGCTCATGATGTCCAATTGGCTGAGCCTTCATAAGCAGCCTGACAGTTGTGGCCAAGCATAAGCTCCCACGGTCACAAGAATAAGTGTCCGAATACCATGCACACGACCATTATTCTGGTATCGAGCCGGTGACGGAAATGTTTGCTTCCACTTCCTGGGCCCAAGCCCATGCCTTTTCATCTATGACTTGTACTTGCATGACATAGGCCGCTTCTTAGAGCTTACCTCGTTCAGCTTATCTTCAGGATTCCTCCCATGGCTCACTTCGGTATCACGCCAGTCACAGGAACTCGTTGCGGAAAGTAAGATGACGCGCTCAGCCCTTAGCAAATCCAGCTCCCCTCAAAAGCTGAAGCTTCTTTCTGCAGCTGAGTCCAGCACTGGAGTCACGACTCGCGGTTTTGTTGGCGGCGCCCGGAAGAGTAGTGATCCTAACAGTCATGCATCAAGCTAGCTCCTGGTTGATACAGGGATAATGGAAAAGAACATGGAAACTACTATAGTATGGGGGTTATATAGGGGTATACTATAGCCATATAGGGGTATAATATAGTAGGGATAACGGAAGGGAAATGGAAACAACTATGTTATATCTGTGGCAGCATTGTGTGGTGTGTGTTTTTTCAGAGCACTTTCACAACGTGGTGCCCGATGTTGCCCAAGCTGCGCCCTCAAATACTATCAGTCGTCGTAATGACCAAGAACCTTGCAATATTCATCGACGGCACCCCTTGCACATGTCCGAATGTAGCCTTCATGCACAAGTATCACTGTCAGAATAAGTTGAGCCCGACTTGCACACCGCTGGTTCAAAGGCATCTACATCTAGCAGTAAAAATACCGGTAGCTGCCATTGGTGCACTGCGCCTACCTGTGCCAAAAAGTTTTTGAACAGATTCTGGCAGCTGCTTGAGGCATTGATGGGCTTCTGGTGCTGCAAGAAAATGCAATACCCATGAAGTACTGACGTTGATTCTTGTGCGCGGCTTTACCAGAAGCATATCTACCTAACATACTATAGTAGTTTCCATTTTCTTGTCCATCCTCCCTATATAACCATTCCAGTTACTTCCCCTCTTATTTTCCATCCTCTTGTCCATTTGATTCTCCATTATTCCCGCCTAAATGCTCCCATGTAACCCCCTTTAGGGGACCAACCCTTGACCTTAAACCCTAAACCCCACATAGTAGTTTCATTGTCTTTTCCCTTGTTCCTATATAACCCCATTGTAGTAGTTTCCATTTTCTTTTCCACCATTCCTATATTGACTGTAGCCCTAAATCCTAAACCCTGAACCCCAAGCCCTGAACCCTAAGCCCTGTGTCCTTTAACCACCAGAGCCCAAAAATATCCCAGCAGCTGGGCACGGTAGAGCTGTCGGCCCCGCAGACCCTTACAGGAAGCTGACGTTCTTGCGAACGCCTCCAGCCCCACAACGTCTTTGCATGTAGCTTTTTAAAATGCATCTAGTCACTTTCGCAATTTTTGGCTGGAGGTCAGTTGCCGAGGTTGAAAAAACCATGGCCCAAATTTGGCGGGGCTTTGCGGTCTTCTGTGCCCTAGAATTCTTTGGAGGAAGCAGATCGCAGTGACCCTCATTTGCACGGTCCCCTTGAATACAGATGTTGTATGAACGTAACTCGGACTCATCGAGCTGATCGCTGCGTGCGACGCAGTTGACTGTAGTTGGTTCTAGAGCGCTACGTGCACATCACGTCATTGATTTAAGTGCTTGGGCTGTCTATTTCCTGTGCTGCAAAGTCGTCGTCCCTGCTCCACAGACAAGTTATACACTCGAACTCTCTTGCCTAGCTGGACATGGGGGGATGCTGCACTTTGGGGGTCACGATTGGGATCTGTCAGGACGCGCAAGTCCGCACATGGCGTCCGACAATGGACGCGGCCAAACCCAAGAGATCTTCCAGATCGGCTGGGGTGCATAGGTAAACCTTAAACCCTATATAACCCATTATAACTCCCATTATAGTTAGTTTGCATTCCGTTTTCCATTATCCCAAAATAACCCCAATATATTATAGTAGTTTCCATTTTCTTTGCCATTATTCCAATACAACCCCAATATACTACAGTAGTTTCCATTTTCTTTTCCATTATCCCAATATAACCCCAATATACAAAAAATCCCCATATTCCCCCAGCTTCCATTTCATTTTCCATTTTCTTTTCCATTTGGTTCGGCCCAATTACAATAGTAGTTTCCATTTTCTATTATCCCAATCCCACATCGTGATCATCAGCACGAGTGATAGGAAGCGCAGCCCGACAAACGGAAGGCTCAGAGTCGAGCGCATGTCTTTGTTGTCCAGGCAGCTTTAAGGTTTAGGGGTTAGGGTATTAGGGTATTAGGGCTTAGGGTATTAGGGTTTAGGGTATTAGGGTATTAGCGTTTAGGGTTTAGGATGCAGCCGCTTGGGATCCTTCCCAGGTGGACGGACGCAAAGCCTGCTCAAGGGCTTAGTTTTCCGGGTTCTCTCATTCAGGCCATCCAGAATCTTCTACGACTGTGCAGGGAGTTGCTGCGGAGCGTGAGGTCAAAAGCATGCCTTCCTGCCTGCACTCACGGAAGTTTGTCTGTTTGCTCTGTTCAGACTTCGGAGTCCCTTAAAGGCTTTACCAGCTGATAGCAAGACAGCAGGCAACCAGGTTGCAAGCAAAAGCGCAGAAAAGAACGCCTGGATCATCTGGCAGACCTGCGTGCCTGAATTGCTCACTCCTTAGATCTTTTTTTCACTGAGTCTGAGCCCAGCCCCAACACACTGTAGACAACGACACAAAACACCTTTGTTGAGTGGGAAGGAACGGTGCAGACTGACAACTACCAATCTGTAGTCACTTGAGCTATAGTCTAAACTCCTTAAAGGGGGATTATAGAGGGGGTAATATGGGGGACTACTATAGGGTTTATTAAGGGGGATACTAGGAGTTTAGACAGTAGCTCACTTCAACCTACATGTCTTTATGTGCAACACAAGCCCTTTTTCCATGTCATGCTAGATTTTCTTCCCATTCCCTTCTCCGTTATAAACGTTAAGACGCGCAAACCCTTTACATCCCTCTATGTATATATATGTATATATATATATGTATATATGTAAACACCCCAGTGTTCATTTCATGTTCAATCTTCTTTTCCATTTGGTTCTCTATCACTCGTAATTATCTGATTGTAGCAGCATGGCGGATGCGGAGACCTCTAGAGTTGATTCTGCAGAGCCGCAGGACTCACAACAGCTGCATGCAAGTGAGCGCTGTGCTCGCATTTCCATCAGCCAGTTGCTGCTGAAAGGGCCTGTTTGCAGTTCTTGTAACTTATAAGCCCTAAGCCCCAAACCCTGAACATGCAAGATCCATTTCAAGGGTCTGTGGTGAACATGAGCAGTGTCAAGGTGCTACAGGGCCCTCGCTTGTTGGCAGCTGTGTGTGGGGTACCCTCAAGTGGGGCTTGGACATCCATTTGCCGAAGTGCGCATTGCAGAAAGAGTTTTTGAGGAGCAAGGCTCAACTTCAGAGCTGGTGCCTTACGGGGAAGGACCAGAGGGTGGACTGTGGAGTGGGACGTGTCACTAGTAAGCAAAATATCGCGGCGGACATCTCTTTCACAGTGCCACGGGGTTTCTTGTAACGTCAAGTCCCGCTGCAAGAGTGCAGTGCCTCGCATCCTACGCAAGTTCTACGCATGGTGGGAGACTCATGTTATTCAAGCAGCCCGCAGTAGAGAAGCTCAAAAGCATTAAATCCCTGCCTCTTCAGTATTCTGATCACGCTGTGATTTTCCCCTATTGTTGCTTCTGGTGCATGCTGTACGGCCGTAGCAGTTGCTGTCATCCGATGAATCGGACCTTCTTCCGATTTTTTCCTCCATCGTTGCTCTTGTTTGTCTGTAGCTTTTCAGTAAAAGGCCTTCACACCTCCCCGATGGCAAGCCGGAGGAGCCCGTCGTCAAGGTAATGCACGGTTGCGCAGCAGTAGCATGAATTGTCGTCGCATGGAGACTGAACCTACCTGTGCAATCGGATCAGCATCAGCTGCTGGACATTATGCTCCTAGTGCTGGAGATAGCTTCCACAGCAATTGCTCCATTGCGCTCTGTACGTGTCCGAGTTTTTGCCACATTTGCTTGCATGGAAGATCCTCCTCCAAGCCCTCACAGCTGGTTGCTGCAGGCTCCCAAGGACGAAGAGCCGGATGAGAAGCTGGTGGAACCGCCAATGCCCGAGCTAACGAGGAAATCCTTACTAAAAATAGCGTGCCGCTGCAACATCCCCAGGCTTTAGTCAAGACGTCCTAACAATACTGCAGCAGCACCTCATGTCCGACCTATCGAAGCAGTAGTTCTAACATCCTCTGACCAAAGCTGGAATCATGTCCCTAGACCCTATATATCCCTATATATCCCTATATAACCCATTATCCCAATACGGCTTCAATATAACCTTTTATATATCCCCATATAACCCATGATCCCAATATAACCCCAATATTCCACTGCAGGCCCTAAACCCTAAACCCCATAAACCCTCAACCCCAATATACTCCCTATATATCCCTATATAACCTGACCCCAACATAATCCCAATATCCCACTGTAGGGTTTTGTGCAAAGGCCCTCAGCAAGCCAGTCCAAAGACGAGCCTGGCACCTCGGAGTCAGGCTGCTCAGCACTTGCCAGGGCTAAAGCCTGACGAGAAGCTCATTATAGTATTACATAGTATAATATACTATAATGTACTATAATATACTATAATGTACTATAATATACTATAATGTACTATAACATACTAGAATATACTATAATATTTTCATATACTATAATGTACTATAGTACGTTGCAATATGGTATAAGAGGGTCCTGCGGTCTTAGGCCGCCCGCGACGTCCAAGCATGAGCCGCCCGAAAAACCGACTGCAAAGGTACAGCTTGCACCTGAGCAAAGTGTCCTTGTGAAGAATGTCGAGGCAGCCCGACGCTGTATGTTCTGACTTGAAGGTCTCAGCGAAAGGGTCTGCCAAACCTTTTGGCCGAACTGGGCCTCAAGGTGGGCAGTGGCAGTGCCACGGGACGGCGCACTTCTTCTGGTTGCGCCTTGCAGAGCATTCGAGTACTTGGGTGTGCAGATGTTTGCGGGTATGTGGTAGCTTCCCAAAATAAGGGGACCCTGATTTCGACCCCAAAATACTATAATCCTTGTTATTGGGACCCCTAGAAAGGTACACCTAATTTTGGGAAACCCCCATGTAGACTTTTAAAGGCCAAAAGCTGAACTGCTTTCAACGAATTATGCGCTGGAATCCAGCCTTAGTCTCTAGTAGCTGGCAGGTGACTTCCAAAGGCGTGCTGCTGCCGGAGAGCAGGAAAACGTCGGTACCTCAATACCCTTGCCAACAGAACTTATTGGTGTTTAGTAGGGAATATGGGAATATAATCCCTACATGATGCTTATAGCGATCTATGCAATATATTCAATCTATTCCCTATCTAATCCTTATATAAATTAATACCCATGCAATATATTCCCTCATTCCTGGCTGAGCACCAGTAAGAAGAGCGGTGCGGTGCTCAACACACAACAGCCGCACGGTGGGTAAGCAGGACAAGGCCTTTGGCTAAGGGTTTAGGGTTTAGGGTTTAGGGTCCCCCATACGACCCCAATCATATCATCATTAAGTATGTTCTTATTCATATTACTGTTACGATTCTTATTAACCAGTACTATTTGTGCTAATTTTAGTATTACCAGTAGTATTACTACAATTCTTATGATTTTCAATTATTGTTTTGCTATCCTATATAGCCCCTTTTAAGGGGTTTAGACCCTATACCCCAAACGCTATATAATCCCCTATATAACCCCCTTTAAGAGGTTTAGACCATAAACCCTAAACCC